TTCAGCAGGGGAGAACTCAGACAGGGCTGACAACACTGCTTTGAGATTTCAGTACAGCAGAGGTAATGTTGCCAGCTCACTACAGGAAGTTGCTCACTGGATTTCTGGCATATAAACTGGTATCTGTCCTTGCAGAATTTCTAAAGCGATAAACCAATGGAAAATGAGCATGTATTGCAATTGGTGCATACTGAATATGTTTTATTTTTTGCACAGACATACACATAAAAAACTGCAGTCCACTTCTCAAATGCATAAATTGCTGTGTTACCAATCTGTACCTTGGTAGCATTGAAGTATACAATATGCTAGAACACAATATCACACAGATATCAAGCATTTGCATTACAGCAGGCAAGCATCAGAGGTACATAATTAGTAATATGAGTTTGTGAAGATGCCGTTTACCTCCCATGTTTATGAGCCCCAAAATAGACCAGACTTGGGTATGTGAGCCTTATCTACAGGGAACTATTAGTTCCTGAATGTCCCGTTATCCAGTGACAGCTAAGGGATGTGGGAATTGAACTGACACTTTAGCTGTTGGGCACAAGTTGCTCGAGTCTTGGGTACTCTGTACAAGCCTTCCAAAAAAAAAACACTATAGCCTCAGCTTTATGAAATGAGCTTTGTATAAATAGCTTACAGAATGAGCCTATTTCATTTTTTTGGCTTATCTCTGCCTTTCGTTCTCAGTTCTGTTAGTTCATGTATTAGTGATCGGGGTGGATTCCCCTTGGGGAAGGGTGGGATAATCAAACGTTCACTGCACTCAGCTAAATAAGGCATTCTTCTTGTAGTAACTTTCTTTAGAAAACACTCAGCAGCTCCAGTCATTGAATAGCAGTGTAGAAGCCAGTGTAGCTCAGGCTGTACCTGTCCTCCATGGTGGTAACCTATGTGGGTGAAGCACCTGTGTTTATATTAGCTTCCTAGGAACAGCCTCAGCATCACTCATATTCTGGCTCTCTAGCAGCGGGAGACAAATGAATCCGTGGAAAACTGAGCCTGCGTCTTTAGCTGTGTCTTCACTGCTACGATTTACTTATTGGTGCATATGACTGAGTACTGCTTGTGCTGTGTCTACACAGATGGACCCCATCCACAAACCTATGATGAGCCCTAACTTTGGAGTTCCACTTATCAAGACAAAACGACCGGTCATTTCCTGCAACGTGTGTCAGATCCGCTTTAACTCCGAGGTAAGTGATTCCAGTCACTCCTAGAAAGTGTTGAGCTCCGGAACTGGATTATATTCAGAATGTCTTTATCCAGGGAGCTATTTGTGCAGATGTTTTTGGGTAAACCTGCCAGAAAGCTGTTCCGTGCAGCCTTCTATATGTATTGCCATACTTTCCTCTTAATGTAGTAAACTGTATTCTTGATGCTGTGCCTTTCCTCTGCAGCCAAATGTGGGATACCCCCTCTATATGTTTATTATCTATTCCTAGTCACACAGCATGTCTAAAAAAAGTTTAAATAATAAATATGTTATATATATATATATTTATATTTTAGATGGCAGGAGTATACATAGGACTCTACAGGCAGCTTCAAGTGGTTGGAATAGATGCAGTGAGTTGATAAGAGAATGACTGAGGGAAAGTTTTTAAAAAGTTTATTAACATACAATGTCTTCAGGTCTTTAACCCTTTGTTAGGATAGGCAGTCCTTCTAATCTAGTGTTCAAGCAGGGGCGTCCCGAAGCCAGGTGTCCCTCGATCTCCAGACCGGGTGACACCCCGCTGTGTCGTCATCGCACGTGCGCAATGACGACATTGCGCATGCGTGGCCATCTGATGGACGCCGACAGAGAGACGAGGGGACGTTCACCCGGCGGCATGAGGTATGCCGCAGGGTCCCCTCCTCTCTCCTGACACCGTCGACCTCTCGTTCCAAAAGTAGGTGTTATCCCAATTTGGCTGCAAAAGTGGAAATACAATTTAAGCAAAGGCGCTTTAAAGTTCAAAGCCTGAATGGTAAATATGCAAGTTAGCATCATATAGTTGTCTAGCCCAGTGGGGCTACCCCTTGTGCTTGTTTTGTCCAGGGAGCTAAAGTAACAGAGTTATATTCATCCAAAACATGATCCCAGCTTGTTCCTATATTGTTCCCTTCAGTTTGCCTCCTCCTCCGCTCCAGCGATGGAATTACAGTGTATAGGTCATGATGACCGAAAACCGGCAGAGCAGGTGGGGGAACGAGGTTGAAGGGAACAGTCTAGGAGCCAGCCCGGATTGTCAATCATGTCCCTAGACAAAACAAGCCCCACTGACAAGATCAGGATCCCTTTGCCCGGAGTTTTTCTTTACTGTTGAAATATGTATCTAAATCAAAATGTACATATATGATGCATTCTGTGACATGCATTTACACAGCAGTTTTTTTCTGAGTCCCCTGCTGTAGTTGTTTAGTTTTATTACCCGTTGGTCCTGCTAATTGATCCTTCATTTTTTCACTTTCAGCAGAGTGACAACACTGTTTGTTCTGCAGTTAAATCTCTTATCAGCATTTTCACCCTGTGGACAGGGTAATCTTAGATGGACATGTATTTTTAAACGGAGGGGCATGTATATTCAAAATTTAGCTTCAGTGTACTTAGCTTCCCTCCAGTGATGCAATCTCCTTTACCAGCAGCTCCATCTTTGCTCTGACTTTTTCAGAGTTTGTTGTCTTTTTCCATTATTATTATTATACAGGATTTATATAGCGCCAACAGTTTGCACAGCGCTTTACAATCTTTATTGGCAGGCCAAGAATGATATAAATTCTGCTCAAGGGCACAGGAATTCTCAGTGCATGATGAGAATATACACTTGTGCATGCTGGCCGGAAATAGGGGAGCTTTTATTGCAGAAGAGACATTTAAAAAGCCAAAAATGTTTCTATACCTCTTTAAAGTGATCTTGCACCCAGACTGCACACTAACGTATTTACATATTCTTAACAAACCATAAAAAAATAGTTTTGTTCTTATTCCAAAGCTTCTTGTATTGTTGTATTTGACATTCTATAGAGGAGCACAGATAGTGCTCACCGGAGTTGTTATTTAACATGGTGATTTTTTTTTTTTTTGCTAGAGTGCTTTGCTTTATTGAAATCAGATTTAATTATATGTAAGTGGTGATATAGACTTGTGCGCCTGCCAAGAATTGTATGTGTGCCCAGCTCAGCAATAGCCTGTACATACAATGCAAATTAATTGTGGCAGACCCATATCTCTGCCTGACTGATTCACATCTAATCCGCCTTTGCTAGGTCTAGTTAACTGTCCTGCTTATGGAACAGCTGTCTTAACAGCTGGGCTGCTTCAAATGATATTTTAGCTCCCCGCACCCAGCCAGAGGGGGGGGGGGGGGCGTAAAAAGGGGGGGGGGGACC